TATCAATCTTTTGAAGAATTAAAGATACTAATAAATAGTGACGTTGTACTAGATCAACGTGTTTACAACTCACCAACAACAGATCAGGTGGCTGCAATCTGGGTTGAAGGAAATAATGACAATGCACCATTTGAGAGAGAGATTATTGTCCATGCACACTCAGGAGGAAGACATCAAGTGAAACACTATTTTGGCTGTTATGATCCACTGCAGTATCCCTTACTCTTTCCTAATGGAGAGGTTGGATGGCATCAAAATGTTAAAAGAAGGGTTAAATGCGATATCAGAGCTGACAATCAACAAAGAACTATAATACCAACTTCAATATCTCCACCTACCTTCACATCTGCAAAAGACATATTTAACCGAGAAAGTAAAGGTAAAATTTAATTCACATTTCTAAGTAATATTATTATATATGAACATAGATTAACGCCTAAATTTACAGGAGTCAAGGCACCAAAAACCGGAAAAGTTTCATGCCGAGATTATTATTGTCATAAGCTCCAGATAAGAGACACTCGACAATCTTTTATACTTACATTAGCAGGTCGTTTATTCCATCAATATGTTGTTGATATGTACATAAAGCTTGAAACAACAAGGCTTTTGATTACTTTAGAAATAAATAATCAGAAATCAGAGCAGAGTTATTCCAAGGCATTGTCGACAGTGTAGCCGCCGGCGAAGCAAATGCAAGCCAGGTGGGCAAAAGAATAGTTCTTCCATCATCATTCATAGGTGGTCCTAGAGACATGCGTCGCAGATACCTTGATGCAATGTCATTAGTACAACGATTTGGAAAGCCAGATCTTTTTATAACAATGACATGTAATCCAGAATGGGAAGAGATCATTGAGCAACTACATCCAGGCCAAAGCCATAATGACATGCCAGACCTAACCTCAAGGATATTTCGAGCAAAGCTCCAAGACTTGAAAGATCAACTATTTAAGAAGGAGATATTTGGGAAAGTTGTAGCACATGTTCACGTGATTGAGTTTCAAAAAAGAGGGCTACCACATGCACATATATTAATAATTCTTATTGGAGATCACAAGATCACATCATCAGATCAGTATGATAAATATGTATCTGCAGAAATTCCAGACCAATCCAAACACCCGATCCTCTATGAATTGGTAAAAAAACATATGATGCACGGACCTTGTGGAGAGTTGAACATGAAGAACAGTTGCATGCAAAATGGAGAATGCAAATATCACTATCCTCGCGATTTTAGCTCACAATCAATTCAAGCAAAAGATGCTTACTCAATTTATAAGAGAAGGAATGATAACAAAACAATGTTGGTCCGCAATAAAATCCTTAATAATCAGTGGGTTGTACCTTACAATTCATATTTGCTGACACGTTATAATTATCATATTAATGTTAAAATATGCTCAAGCAGTAAAGCAATGAAGTATCTTTACAAATACATATATAAGGGTCATGATAAAGTGGCAGTAAACATTGAATATAATGAAGGAAGGGTCATGATAAAGTGGCAGTAAACATTGAATATAATGAAGGAGGAAGACTTGTGAATGAAATAAAAAATTTTCAAGATGCAAGATGGGTATCAGCTTGAATATAATGAAGGAGGAAGACTTGTGAATGAAATAAAAAATTTTCAAGATGCAAGATGGGTATCAGTTCAAGAAGCTTTGTGGATAATATATGAATTCTATCTTAATGAGATCTACCCAGCTGTCATCAACTTACAACTACACTTGCCGAATCAATAGTTTATTTCCTATTAGAAAAATCAAGACCTATCGAAGCTCATCCGCTGGGACCATGTCCACAAGACAATGCTTACAGAATTTTTTACACTATGTTCAAAAATTAAAGAAGCCAACAAATCAAAACCAAAAAAGGACCAGGAAAAAGAGTTATTATATTGTGAACTTCCCGAATATTATGTTTGGGATTCGACAACAAAATGTTGGAGTCCAAGAAAACAAAGACAGGTGATAGGTCGTATAAATGGTGCTAATCCAATTGAAGGGGAAAGATATTACTTACGCCTTTTACTTACTCACATCAGATGCCCCACCTCATTTGAGAATCTATTGACCGTGGATGGAATTCAATGCACATCATTCAAACATTCAGCTCAAAAATTAGGTTTATTGAAATTAGATAACAGCATCAGAGAATGCTTAGATGAAGCCGTCATCTTTCAAATGCCAGCAACCCTTCGCCGCATGTTTGAAATCATACTGGTTCACTGTGAGCCCGCGGATGTTAATAAATTATAGGATCGATACCTTGACTCATTATCTGAAGACTTCTCAAGGAAACCTGGTGCTACGAAAGTTTTGATTATAAACGACACCCTTTGCAACATTAAATTCTTCTTAAAGAGCATGAGAAAGGATATCAAGAAATTTGATTTACCGCCTATTCAAACTAACCCTCATTCAAAAGGAGGTTCATACCCAAGAGAAATTCAAGATGAACTCAATGTACAAATTCTAGATGAAGACCTCAATGCTGAATCATCACTCAATTCAGAACAATATAATGCATACACTTCCGTACTATCACAAATTCAAGGAAATAAAAGCGGGATTTTCTTTATTGATGGGTCAGGAGGAACTGGGAAGACATTCTTGTACCGTGCTTTGCTAGCCAAAGTAAGATTACAAGGGATGATAGCTCTTGCTATAGCGACATCAGGCGTGGCAGCAGTAATAATGCCCAGAGGCCGAACAGCACATTCCAAATTTAAGATAAAAATCCCAACAATAGAATCATCTATGTGTAGCATATCCAAGCAAGATGGAGCCTCAAAGCTGATTAAGATAGCTAAGTTAATAATTTGGGATGAAGCTCCAATGGCTAAACGTGTTGCAATTGAAACATTAGATAGAACAATAAGGGATATAATGGATCAAGATGAACCATTTGGTGGCAAAGTAATAGTATTTGGTGGGGATTTCAGACAAGTTTTACCAGTAGTACCCCGCGCAACAAGATCACAAACTGTTAGAGAAAGTTTACTAAGCTCATATTTGTGGAGCAAAATGGAAAAGTTGAAGCTATCGAAGAACATGAGAGCAAGAACATATTCAACATTTAGCGAATTCCTTTTAAGAGTTGGAAATGGCGATGAACCGATTGTGGCTGATGACCTAATAGCATTGCCCACTTCTATTTTGATAAAGAATCAAAGTGATGATTTACCAAAAGATTGTCTAATAAATGCAATTTTCCCATCTTTAGATGAGAACTTCAAATCCATTGACTATATAAAAGATCGAGCTATCCTGGCAACAAAAAATGAATATGTCGACATGCTAAATGATAGAATCATAAAACAATTTCCAGGTGAAGAAAAAGAATTCTATAGCTTTGATGAAGCAGTTGATGACACTAATCATCACTACCAGCCATAATTCCTAAACACGTTGCTACCAAATGGACTACCACCCCACAAACTGGTATTAAAGAAACATTGTCCTATTATTTTATTAAGGAACCTGGATCCGACTAATGGGCTATGCAACGGAACAAGAATGGTATGTCAAGATTTTAATTGTAATATAATCCATGCTAAGATCACAATGGGCCAACATGCAGGGAAAGAAGAATCCATGCTAAGATCACAATGGGCCAACATGCAGGGAAAGAAGTTTTCTTACCAAGAATACCATTATCTCCAGCAGAAGATGAAGGGTTCCCATTCAAGTTCAAACGAAAGCAATTTCCAATACGGCTATGTTTTGCAATGACAATCAATAAATCACAAGGACAAACAATTCCTCATGTAGGCATCTATCTATCTCAACACGTTTTCTCTCATGGACAGCTGTATGTTGCTTTATCACGAGGGACTTCAATGACAACAACCAAAGTCCTAATAATATCAGACGGAAATTTTAAAGAATATGAAAGATACAAAAAAATATAGTATACAAGGAAGTCCTCCAGCCAACAACCATGAAATGAACTTCAAAATCGCAATAGCTATTCTACAGGTAATTAATTTATAAGAATAATTGTGTATGTTCATTCATGTTCATTCCTATAATTTATAATTTTCAATATTGTATAACTTTATCCCTTTAGCATTCACTTTTTAACCCCACTCAAACTATATTATCAGTTAAAAATATTCAAAACCTTATGAGGAACAAGAATTAATAAATTCATTTTCTAAGATATGGTATATTCTATAATATTGTTCAAAACTAACATGTATATTTTAATCTATTTAACAGAAAAAATGATTACCAGTATTGAAGACCAAACTCAGCACATTCAAATAAGCCAGCTCAAGAAGTTTCAGAAAGAATGGACCATTCATGTTATCATACTTCAAAGTGCAGAGGCAACTTACAAAAATACAAAAGGATCAGGGAAAATACTAAAGCCAATTCTTGCTGACGCAAAGGTAAAATAAAATTATTTTTAATATTATATTGTTTGCCCAACGTTACATCTAATCATATGAATATTGCTAAATCTTATTTTCTAATCGGTAAATTTCATTAAAACACCGATAACTATCAAAATGGCTTTTTATGATGTTTTCATGTTTACATATAATATATAGATTAGTATTAATTAATTATATTTTCCATAAATTGATCTCTGGTGTTAATAATATTTGCAGGGTAACAAAATACAAGCAGTAATGTACGGAGAGACTATCGAAAAGTTTATAGATATGCTTCAAAAAAAATCAAATTATTTTCATTTTAAATGGAGAAGTGAAAGGAATAAACCCAGCTTTTCCAAGTATCCACAAGTCACTTGAATTAGTACTAACAAAATACGTATCGATCAAAGAAGCACCAACATGATTCCACTTGGAGAACATATTTAACAACTTTGTCCCATTTGAAGAAGCATTTTCCATGAAAGATGCAACAAAAATTAGTTAGTACTTACAAACTTCTTACTTAAATCTTCAATACAAAATGAGACATTAATCTACAGAATCATAATCTTTTTATCAAATCACTTGCAGATATTCTTGCAATAACAACTAATGTTAAGCCGACGATCAACTATATTACAAGACACAACAAACCAGACACTAGGAGGGAAATCACGCTTATGGATATAAGGTATATTCATGTTACTTATTTCCAATATCATAAGAGAAAAAAAGATTAACGTTCTTTCTTTTTTCATATGCAGTAGAATGCCAATGCGTACAACTTTATTTGGAGATTTGGCTACAAATGAAGGATCAATTCTTGAAGCAGAAATCAAATATAAGCCTGTAATAGTATTATTAGATTTTAAAATCTCTATATATCAAGGTACATAAATTATTACTGAAATTCTTATTAAAGATAACTAAACAGATTTTAAAATCTCTATATATCAAGGTACATAAATTATTACTGAAATTCTTATTAAAGATAACTAAACATAAAATTACTCCTATAATTTTCTCATTTTTGCAGGAGATACAAACATATCGTCGCAAATTATTTCAACATTATGTATCAACCCAAAAATAGAACTAGCTAGCGAATTAAGGGAATGGTAAGCAGAACAAGCATACTTTCATATAACCAAATAATGAAATATTATTATATTTTAATCTAATATGTAGGTTTCAATTGGAAGAAGTTGCAAAAGCAAAAGGATCTCCATCGACGCTTTTTAAAAATGCTAAGGAAATTCATATTAGTGATATTATGCATAAGTCACAGAATTCGATACAGGTACAATATTATATACATATTCTTATCTACAAATTTAAATCTAACTAAACTTTGTTAATATACAGGCACAATATTGCACATTTAAGGCAAAGATAACTACTATTTTAAATAGGCTCGAGCTATAGTTCTATACTTGCAAAGGCTGTGATAAGAAGGTTGATAAAGATGTTAGTAAAGAGCAGAATCATTGATGACCCAGTACCAAGATTAAATAATATATCTTTTTTAATGGCATGAACATATTAAAATACAATACTAATTGTCTTTAGAAATTAACAATGAAAAATACAGGTACTTAGTTAAGATTCTCATGGAAAATGGCACGGATACTGCAAGAGTAACACTCTTTGACGCAGCAAAAACTCTTATTGGATGCAAAACAGAAAAATTCATAACAGAAAAGAAAGAGGTACTTCCTAACTCTATTCAAGTAATAAATTAGAAAATAAACAAATTCATAAGTATTAATATAACATTTGTTCTCATTGCAACAGAAAAATAATCAGAGTCCATATTTCCAAAAATTTGTTTTGAACATCGGAAAAACATTCAAATTCCTGGTGAAGTTGGATGAAAAGGCAAAAGATGAACGAGGCGAAGGCAATATAATAGCACAAGAAATTCAACTCCAGCCTGATATTACAATCAACGTAGATGATGAAGATGCTACTCTAGAGTTGCCCAGAAAAAAAGATAAAGGTGAAAAAAGATTGATCTTGGTTCAATTAGAAATTTTCAAGAACAATATTTTTAATCATTTTATATAACATCTTAATTTTTAATTACAATTAGGAATTTTTATAAGGTATTTTTATGCAAAGTTATTAGTAGTTTTGTATGCTTATGTGATTGCTTACATCACATAAAATTACACTTTGATATTTAACCATTTTTACTATATTTTATTATTGTCTATGGATATGATCCTGCATTTCGTGAGAGGCAATCGATAAAAATCTGCTTTTATTGATCCTGTGAATGGATATATTGTCAGATAGACATAAAATACTCTTCCTGATAGCTAGCGCAACATGTGATCAATCATTTATGATATAAAGGTGACCTCTTTAACCAATTGGCAAAGAATTACTATTGTGATGAATTTGCTTGGGGTTGTCACAAACCTCAATAAAACATTTCTTTGGATTTTTTTCTGCATTCATTGGAGGCCATTAAACAGGTACTTGATTTATCCAATAATAAACGGGTATATGTAGAGTTGTTGGATGTTGTGATGAGTGTCATTGAGGAAAATGACTCTGAAACTGCAGATTGTGTTGCTTATGGCATTGGAAGACATGATGAACATACTTCCCAAAAATCTTCCTCTAATTCTATGACTGAATCTTGTGTAGTGTCTATATTATCTTCTAAAAAACATGATACAAAAACATGTCCGGGAGATTCTATGATTAACACCTATGAAGAGTCTGCATACTCTAAACAGAGTCTCCTTAATACTAGAGAAATTGATCTTCTGATGAACATTGGCAAAGAATTACCATTGAGCAAAATTTGTTTTGTCCTATATCCATAAAAACATGTTTAATGTTTATTGTTGTGATAATTTTGCTTGGAATTATTACAAACTTCATTATTAATTGTTTGGAATAAGAGACCAAATTTGATAAATATTTACTTTCATACTCTAATTAAGTTCCTGGGTGGTAGTGGCGGTGATAAATTTAACTTCTTCAAAGAAAAATATTTTACAACTTCGTAGTAAATCAAACAATGATCTTAGCTTTTTGAGTAAATGATTTTTAAATATTTTCTTTATTTCTATAACCATAGTTCATAATGACAATTACAATATCCCAGTTAGATATATTCATCACAGTTTATATTAAAAATCCATTACATTTATTTTTATTAATATTTACATAAAATAATACTAAATCTAATAATTCAATTTTACAAATTTAAACTCAAGATGAATCTCACTTATTTAAAGTAATGAAATAAATATAAAAGGAAAAATATTTTGATATTTTACCACGTGCATTGCACGTGCATAAAAACTAGTGATATATATACAGCCCGGCCCAGCCATCCTGGCCCGGTGCGGGCGCCGACGAAACGGCCTGGGTCCGGAACCCGGTTTGGCCCAAACCTGGGCCGTAGGCCCAATTGGACAACCCTATGTTAACCCATGTTAAATTTTTCACCATTGGTTCTAAATTATGTCAAAATTTACGGCCACAGTTCTACAATGTCAATGATCAACAAACATATAGAGTGAATTATCATCTTTGAGATAATCTCATATCCTTTTCTCCCTACCGACAAAGTATCTCAAGTTAATAAGTTGACCAATAAAGAATAATGGAAGTAGTGTCAAAAAGTACATTTACTGCCAAAACAGTAGTTGTCTCCCAAATTTTGGCAGTAGAACTTGTAAAAACAAAAGAGAAATCGTCATGTAAAAGAAAAAAAAAATTACCCTGGGATAACATTGTAGTACTGGGACTGTAAAATGGTCCGGATTTATCCTGACCGATCGCAACCGTATCCGTTTAGAAAGCGAATATGATAGAAAAACAAAAATCAGTTGAATATGATTTCGGATACGGTTACAATTTAGATTTTTTTATCCAGATATGATTATCGGGTCGAAATTACGGATACGATCCGGATATCCAGATATTTAAAATGGGCTAAGTATAATACTTGTATTGGGTCGGGCCTATAACATATACGCACGTTATCCGCAACCCGACCCAAATTCAACTCAAAAGAACTTGAGAGTAGGGGTGCCAAACGGTTCGGATATATCCGAACCGATCCACATCCGTATCCGAACGGATGTGGATATGGTAGGCTAATTTTGACACCGAGCGAATACGGTAACGGATACAGATATGGTTTTAGATTTTTTTTTGGATACGGATTCGATAACGGATATGAGAGTTGCGGACACGGATATCCGCAATATAATAGTAATTCGGGTAATGAGTCCCAAATTTATATTTACAAACCCGCTAACCCAAAACCAAAAATAAAAAGGAAAAAGCCCTGGGCCCTCACCCTCAGCCCTCAAGCCGCCTCCACTCTCCAGCGCTCCACTCCATCAACCTCCACTCTCCACTTTCCAGTCCACTCCGGCCCTCAAACTCCTCAGGCCGCCTCCCTCAAACTGCTATAAGTCGTGCTCAAACTCCTCGTCTCCTCCACTTCTCCTCTACCTTCTCTCCAGCGACGGCGGCGGGATATTTCCGGCGATCTCACAGCCGGAATATTCCACTCTCAAGGTTGGTCAAAGAGCGGGATATTTCCGGCGATCTCACAGCCGGAATATTCCACTCTCAAGGTTGGTCAAAGATCGTTTCTTTCTGCTCTTATTTGCCATTTTCATGCACTTTTCCTGCAAATTTCTAGTGGTTTTTTTGTTTTAGTTAATACCCACTCAATAATTTTCTTAACAAATCTCTTTTAACCCGTAAAATTTGGATTTTGTTGCTGCTGAATCACTGATTCTTTTGATCTGTTAGACTGTTACTGAATGAGGTTAGTTAACTTACACCAATTTATATATATTTTAATGATCTGTTAATTCTTTTGATCCGTCGGATCTCGCCCTCAGGTCGTCGCCCTCACCTTTAGGTCGTCGGATCTTATACCTTCAGGCCGTCGCCCTCACCCTCAGGCTGTCGGATCTCGCCCGCTTCGTCTTTGTCGGATCCGCCGTCTTCTGCATAAGGTTGAATCGAAACTCTGCTTTAAATTCATTGACAATATCTTCTTTCATATGTGTATAAGATTTTTGATTAAGTTTTTTTAATTTAATTGAATAGAAATCATGTCTAATCCTTCGACTCAAGCGTCTAACGAAGAACAAACTGTTGAGCCTAATGTTGAACCTACTGTTGAACCCGTGGTTGAGGAAACGCGGGGTGAACTCTGCGTTTGAGTTCTGAAAACTGTTCCTGAGTCAAAACGCAAGGGCCGCGTTCTAGAGAGAAAACGCGGGGTGAACTCTGCGTTTGAGTTCTGAAAACGCAAGGTGACCTCTGCGTTTGTCTTGGCAACGCAGAGTGACCTCTGCGTTTGAGTTCTGAAAACGCTGGGTGAACTCTGCGTTTTGTCTTGGCAACACAGAGTAACCTCTGCGTTTGAGTTCTGAAAACGCAGGGTGAACTCTTCGTTTTGAGTTTTGGGGCGCGGAAGGGCGCTCCGCGTTTGGATTTGTAAAGATCGTCAATTTGTAATCTCCTTTCTTCAACTTTCGTGCAAATTGTCATTGTAATCTTTACACTTGGTCCTTGTGAAATGTGAGTGTCATCAATTTGTAACTCTCGCACGTTGCTGTGAAAGTCTTCACATTGCAACTTTCATCGACTGTTGTGGAGGTCGTTAGATTGTAACTTCTGCTTGTTGATGTGAATAACGTCAGATTGTATCTTTCATCATCTGTTGTTTTGTGGGGATCAACTATCTGCAGTAATTTTTTAGACAACCTACAATAATATCTTGTCCTATTCATGATTCTAGGAAGTTAATGTGTTTTCCATATTCTGATACCTTTATCAGCTTCATGTTTCTGTGTCCATTTTGATACTTGCTTCTTCAAGTAAACGTATATTTTTTTTTCCTTTACTATGAAATAAACACTTGTATAACATTCTGCTTCAAAGAGGGTGTTGTAGCTCTTAACATTATGAAATTGATGCCATAATGGATTATGAGGTTTTTTAGTGTCAGCGGCTGATTTCATCTTGAAATGAATGTTCAGTTTTTTTTGTTATTTACAATGAAATTCACAGCTGATATCAAAGTTAGCTCCTTCTATCTCCGTGAACAAATTTTACGGTTTCCAAATGGAGATGTAAATGTAGTTTAAACTATGTTCCCTATTGTAGTAGATTAGATTACAATTTGCATTAGAAACAAGAATCTATAGTAAAAGAATATCATAAAAACATTTTTGTTTAAATTTAATATTTATGTTGTTTAGTAATTTACTTTGTGAGAGGATCATAACTTGTTTTAGAGGATGTAGAGTTAAGACTGAGTGATTTCTTTCTTTTTCTTATTTCACTGTGTGAAGGTATGTTTCTATGTTTATTTCTTTCTTTTTTTGTCTTTCCTATAAGCACTAAATTCATTTCTCCATCAAACTCTGCTATCTTTACTACTATTGTCCTCGTCTCTCTTCTTTTTCTTCTTCCTCTTTTCCTTTTTATCACTTAATGCCATCTCAGGCTCCTTCCATTTGATAATTTTCTTATTATTATTTTCCATTGACATAGATGAATCCAACAACAACTACTTGCTGAATGAAACTGGAACCAAGAGCAAGGAGAAAGGGCTGTGAGCAGAGGAGTGGTGAGAACAAGATACATGTTGTCACTGTTAGGAGCTGATCGTCAAAGAACTATAGAGGGAGGAGAGAGATGACTGAGGCGGCAACAATTGGATAAGAATTTTCCTGGGGATTTTTATGCCCTAGATTGAAGAAGGTTGTATTGCCGGATGCCCAAAGGGTGACCATTACTTATCCAACTCTCGAAACCGACCCAACCCTACATGTTTTTACGAAATTACCCTCAAATCATGACAATTACTATTAGATCCCTCAAATCTTAAGTTATCCTAAAATTAGTCCCTCAAACCATTGAAATTGTTATAAGTCCTGAAAATCTTAATTTATTTTAAAAGTAGTCCCTCAAATCACTGAAATTGTTATAAGTCCTGCAAATCTTAATTTATTTTAAAAGTAGTCCCTCAAATCATTGAAATTCATCACAGCGATATTTCGGGTCAGAGTTAGTCTTATTAAATATTAGGTCGATTTGTCCTTGAGAAACCAAGCAATTAAGGAACTCACATGCAGACTGCATGGCTCAAATAATAAATTTAGGGAATTTTTTGATATTGGTTCCTAATATCTTTCATATTCTGAAATTATTTCCTCAAATCATGAAACTTGCTATTAGGTCCCTCAAACCTTTGTTATTTTGAAATTATTCCCTCAAATCATTAAAATTGGTATTAATTTGCTCAAATTGTAAGTTATTTTAAAATTAGTTCTTTAAACCAAGAGAGAAAATAGCAAATAAAGACAAAGTAGTCACTTAAAGTCATTTAAATTGCTATTAGATCATTAAATTCTTATAGGTTGTTTTAAATTAATCCTTCTAATTCCTAGTTTTACTCTTAATTGGAGGGACTAATTCTAAAATAACTCAAGAGTTGCTGGACCTATAACAATTTCAATGATTTGAGTGACTAATCTTTAAATAACTTAAGATTTGCAGGACTTATAACAATTTCAGTGATTTGAGGGACTAATTTTAGGATAACTTAAGATTTGATTAAGATTTGCAGGACTTATAACAATTTCAGTGATTTGAGGGACTAATTTTAGGATAACTTAAGATTTGAGGGATCTAATAGTAATTTTCATGATCTTCAGTGATTTGAGGGACTAATTTTAGGATAACTTAAGATTTGAGGGATCTAATAGTAATTTTCATGATCTGAGGGAAATTTTATAAAAACAGGACGGGACGGGTCGCGTCAGGTTGGATCTGGGGGTTGGATAAGTAATTGCCACCCCTCGGCCTCGGGCGTCCAGCAATACAACCTTCGTCAATCTAGGACATAAAAATTCCCAGCAAAATTCATCTCCCCTTTTGCTGCCTCAGTCGTCGCTCTCCTCTCCTCCCTCTACAGTTCTTCGACGATCAGCTCCTGACGACGGTGACTGGTATCTTATTCTCACCCCTTCTCTTCTGCTCACCGCCATTGCTCCTTGCTCTTAGTTCTAGTTTCTGTTCATCATGTAATCGTTGTTGGATTCTTCTATGTTAATAGAGAATATTAATAAGAAAAGTATCAAATAGAAGGAGTGTGAGATGGCATTGAATGATGAAAAGGAGAAGATGAAGAAGAAAAAGGAGAGGTGCAAAGGACGACAACAGTAAAGATAGCACAAATTTTGATAGAAAAGATGATTTTAGAGCTCATAGGAAAGACAAGAAGAAGGAAGAAAGGAGGAATGTGGAATCTTTACGGCTAGAAGCTAATGAGATTGCTAATGCAGCAGGTACAGACTACAGAGAGTATGGAATTGAAAGACAAGGAGAAGAAGAGGAGGAAAAAGAAGAGAGATAAAGAGGAAGATGACAATAAAGAGAGTACAAGCATTGATCAAGAAGGCGAAAAGATTGGTTTTTTATCACTAGAGTCTAGTGAGAAATCCACTACTGCAGGGGATATAGAACATTATCAAAGTGAAGAGTGCGATGGTTCAGTTATTGGTAATAAGAAGAGAAAAGGGGAAGTCAGCATTGACTCAGGAACTGATAAGAAGAAGAGGAAGAAAAATGAGCAGAAGGATGGAGCGAGTGACAGGGTGAAACCCTCATCAGGAAAAGCTAAGAAAGCTACTACTAAGGATAAGGTTAGAAAAGAGACACAGGGACCTACTTCGCCGATGAAGAAGAAAGTGGCATCTCAGCCAGAGGAAAAATCTAAATTGAAGAGGGTTAGTTTTTCTGGCGACATAGAGGTATTTCCTCCCAAGGTTAACTCTGACGGTGAAGAAGAAGAATATGACGAGGACAACTTGGTCCGCGGGAAAAGATTCACCGAGGCAGAAGATCAGTTGATCAAAGATTCTGTTTACAATTACATAAATGTGAGTTTCTTGATTTTCAAATAATTAGATAGACTCCTCCGGATAAGATACACACACATCACAAGTTTCCGTGAGTTTCTTGATTTTCAAATAATTAGATAGACTCCTCCGGATAAGATACACACACATCACAAGTTTCCATCTTATTCTATTGTGATTACGATTAGTATTTCCCTTTTATGAGTTAGTGTTTGTTGTCAAATACTCTTCATTACATTGCGATAGCATGTCATTTGGTTTAATGCTCCTGTTAATGTTCAAGCATTTTCACATGAGATTGCTTAGGAAGGCTTGCCTCTATAAATTGCGAGTCTCACAGACTGCAACTTAGGTTTTCTTAGCTTTAATGTGACCTTTTTTTAAACTGTATATTAAAATTCAAGTTTATTTTTCTGACTTTGTTTGACCATTATAAGTTAGGGTTCAATATTTATGTAGACTTATTGCTAAAGACCTTAACACGTTAGCCAGTATGATTAAGCACAATATAGATCCACTCAACCAGTTATAAGTTGGGCAATATATGTGCAGCAGTCAATTCTTGTTGAATACTCATGTAGCTTAAGTTAAATACGTTGACCTGTTAGCACCAATGATTAAGCACAATAGATAGATTTGCACTTCATTTGCTTCCCATCAAGTTTGTTGACACTGTTTGCTTAAAGAGCGAAACAACTATTAGATTATTTTTTCAATAAAACTTCTTGATCTTTTTACTGATGTACAATGCATGAAAAGTTTCTCATGTTTTCTTCAGCCACTCTTCTATTTTCAATTTCATGTGTATGTGCATCAATTGACATTGTAATAAATGCTAATGCTTTTTTTTAATTTTCCAGACAAATCAATTAGGAGAGAAAGGCTTGGAAATGGTACTCAATTGCAGAAAATATAAAGAAGTGAGAGGTTGCTGGAAGGAAATCAGTAGGCCCTAATGACACTTATATGACTTGTATTATTCTTGTCATGAGGCTTATGCAATTTCTTTTGTCTGTTTTGATTTTCACTTGCTTTCTCTTTTCTGTCAATCAGACTGTAGTTACCCTGTTAACATTTTTTTCATGTTAATTCAAGGTCTAGGAAGCAAATGACCGAACAGAGCATATGTTCAGCTGGAAATGACCTTAAGCTGAAAACATGTTAAATGACCAGACAATCTTATGAAGCATATAGAACTCTGACCTATTAATTATTATCTGACCACTCAGCTCCTTTGTCAGTCAACCCGTATTTATCTGATAGATGCATAAAATTTCTTGTTATAGGAGTAGATTAATTTGAGATGTACCCACATTAGCATCAATAGTTTATTTAGTAGTATATTGAAGATGTGAGTCTGTCAGCATGCACTACCTTTTGTTGCATGCTTATGGTAGAATCATATTTTAATTTGTTCACTTTGTTGGATATCCTGTTTAAGGTTCCATTGTCTATATTTCTCTTAGATGACAAAGCTGCATGCATCCTGTCCTGCATATGCTAAGTTTGGGGGTAAAACCTTTATTGTCAACTACCAAATTGGCAATCAGCCAGTTCGTATTAATCCACCATTCTTAATTGAGTTTTGTTATTTCTTTTGCTTCTTCACATACCTATCTCTATATCTTTTCAACTCACTGCTATAAATAAGTGTATCCTATTAGGAGGAAAAGTGTTTCTGCCTTTCCTACCATGCATCTCTTATGGAAGAAAATATGTAAAGCATATTTTCAACAACTTCTATAAGCCTCATGGCAGAGGGGGTTTGAGCTCTATGTATCAATCTATTGTCATGCAAGTTTCTGTGCGTCTGTAACTGGCTGTACCACTGTAGTGCTTACACCTATAATATATCATTGCTTATTTACATTTCAGTATGTTGATTGCAGGTGCTACCATACCTTATAGACCTCTTGTAGCGGTGTATTGTCGAGGGCGTTCTTTATTTGAGAGGAGCGAAGAGCGTGGTTTCACTGAAGAAGAGAATGAAATTATTAGAAAGTAAATTAAATCCTTGACTTTTAATATTTCATGTCTTTAATTTTATTAGTTTTCTAGCTTTTGGAAAATTTTAGGCTTCCTGTTCCTGCATGTGCGTGTTTTATTCCATTCGGAAACATGATCTTTTACTGTATCTGAGTTCTGACATGAGTGCCCTACTGTTCTAGCACATGGTTTTCGTGCCTTTGAATTTATTTATGACCTATGAGACTAATATGAAAGTCAAGTGAATATGTTTTCTTTTGTAATTATGTAGTTTGAAATGTGTTAACTTAAGTTGTGATACATCTTTAGATACATACTCTTCAGATCTCTTGCATTTAGGAAATCCCCCCAAAATAGTTATATTTAGAGGTCAGCCCTTAGTTGTTTAGTGTTTGTCAGGCCAGATCATTGCTTGAATTAACTCCTCAATGAGTTTTTCAGTTCTGGTTCATGCAACATTGCAACAACGACAGCAACAATAACAGAACTTTTCAGTTTTTTTCCTTGAAACCACCTTAAAAATAGGGTACGGAAACCACCTTTCAATTCCAATTTACACATTAACCACCTTTAAATTTTTGTTAAAATCAATCACCTCCAAGTCAAAATTTTCACTAAAAACCCAAAATTACCCTTAAAATAAACTCATATTCAAGGCATGCGACTATTTTTATAGTGTTTAGGTCTAGTAAGATACAACTCACGTACCTTTGAACTTGTAATTTTTAAGCTTATTTTTAGTTTTTTAGTGAAAATTTGACTAGGAGGTGGTTGATTGCAACGAAAACCTAAAGGTGATTTATATATAAAATGAAATTGAAAGGTGGTTGCCGTATAATTACCCTATTTTTAAGGTGGTTTGTAAGAATCATTTTTAGGTTGACTATTGATTAAGTCTATGTTCTCCATGAAGTTACCCACTATCACATCCTTCGTAGTTGCTTTCAACCAGCTTTTTTGCCGCCTATATCTAATCCTCCTTGCTCTATTAATTATTATCTCATTTCTGCTTTTAATTGGGTACATTGTGGCCTCCTTTTCATGTGTGCAAATCATCTTACTCTATTTTCTCTCGTTTTTAGCTCAATAGCAGCAATCCCTAACCTCCTATAAATGCATTCATTTCTTATCATATTTCTGAGTGCATATCATCTAGTGGATCATAACATTTAAAATTTTGCTAAACCCTTTTTTTTTTGCATATGTTGTTTCTTAATTGCCCAACATTATGATCCATAGAATATTGTTGATCTTATTAGTCCTATAAAATTTGTACCTCAATGTTAATAGCTATTACACAGTCACATAATGTAAGACTTCGGAAGGACTCCTCAACTTTAAGCATCCTTATTTAATTAGATGAACCACATTTACTTCAATTCAACCATCTCATCAAGTGATTGATTCTAGATGGCGAAAGTGATTACTCCTAGTTATTTCATTGACTGCTATTATGTACTGCATGTTCATTATTTTTCAGTTTTTCTCTTTTTGTTCTGTTAATTCTAAATGTTGTAGATTCAAGGACTTCTCTCCACCCTTCAGCTTTAGAAATTATTTCTTCCCTAGTCTTATCAAAGAATATTATGTCATCAGCACTTCTGGGTTCATGCAATTATTTATTTCCATTGATGCTTTGCTCTATTTTTTTTAGACATTCTCTAACTAGGTCTTTCATTCTAAAACCCGTGCTACTTTTTAATCTTCAAAGCTTATTCAAAATCTTGCATTTTGAATGTCCAGGTTTCATGCAGAATATGGATCAGACTGGAAGAAGCTGTCAGGAATTCTTGGGAAGCAAAGGATCCATATAAAAGATGCTTGGCGAAGGATAAGACTGCCAAATAGAAAAAAAGGTGGGTACTGCTTATGAATCTTGGATCTCTAGCTCTTGTTTCTCAGACATGTTGATCATTGTAATAGACCGTGTCTTTGTAGTATCTCTGTGTGTTTGAGTGCACTGATACGGTTGTTGCTAAATTTCACATACACATTTTTCTCTGTTCTTCTTTTCTGTTACTTTCCTATATTTTGGATATATCCTTACTCTGAAGATGTCAAAACGTTTCAAGGAAGTTTTTTTAATGTTTGTATTTGCTATTTAGTACTTTTATATGTAGGCTTACTTTTAGTAAATTTGGTTGAATGATGGATGATATTGGATTTGAAATTTTGCCTGACAGCAGTATAACTATTAAATGACCGATTAACTATTTAACTCATATAAATGCTCTAGATGCATTGGTGGACTGCTGCTTTTGAGTTTTCAGTTACCAATTACCTGTTTTGGCTCATGCTTGTACAACAATCTCAGTTGTGAACCTGAGGACATATCTGCAGGACTAGGAAATTGTATCTCATTATATTGTTATGACCTAATATCACATGACGCATCGTGCACTACTGAACAACTACAATGAGAATCAAATTGTTGAGATGGCTTTCGTTTTTCCATTGCTTGAATAATTTCTTTTAGTTAATTCACACTCAGATGTGAAAATAAGACTAATTCTTATCTAGTCTTATCTAGTTTATCACTATCTTTTCTATATTGACTTTGTTGATCATAAAGTTTATCCCTTATGGATGGTTAGTCTCTATGATTGTTGGCTACTTTTTGGAGTATATCAAAATTAAAGTAAGATTTAGGAAGTAAATAAATCCAAATGGTATCTGATGTTTCATTATGGTTGTAGTCTACAAAGTCAGCACCATAAAGGAGTTAAACCAAGCATCTCCATCTCTAATTATCTTCCAATAGTGCTTTTATATAGCTCGTCTTATCTTTGCTCCATCTTCTCTTGCATTTATCATGCAACTCTAATTGTTTACTTACGTGTCCTTTCAATAGTAGAAAAGATACCCTGCACCTTGCTCAAATTTTCCCTTTCCTATGTATTAGAGTTTGCTGAGTAGGATTCTTTTTCGTTGCTTGTCTTTGGGACAGGGCGGTGGTCTCAGGATGAGTACCAGTCTTTATTTGATTTGGTGAACTTGAATTTGCGGATGAAAGCCTTTGAAGAAAAGAAATCTACTAATAACATGGTCAGTAGTTTTTATCATTTAGTGCCACTGCTTTTGTGGGTTTTTGGTCGTTGTGGTGGATAGCCGCTGCTTTTCTGTGGGCTGCATTGTTTGTGTAGGATAGTCGTGCACACTGTTGTCTTCAGCATTAAAAACTTTTCCTTATAAAAGAAGAGGACATCTGGCACAACCAAAGTGAGAAGGCTCTAGGATGACTTAATTAATTTTTTTGCTGTCAATGTAATATCATCCTCTGTAGATGGGCGGCTTGTTAGAAGGCTAAAGGGTTAGCTGGACGCTAACAAAGCTACCTTCTTAGTTTTACTAGTCTTACAACTTTGTCTAATGCAGCGATGATTAACCTTTTAACATTTTCGCCTAATCTAAGGTAATCTTGACAAAGGAGAGGACCATATATCTTATGGGCAAATTGGTTGCATCTTTGGATAAAAAATATTGAAAAAAATTCCAGAAAGTAGTCATGTCCACTAATGATTTTTGTGGATGTGGTCATGAAGTGTTATTTTTCATTTTGATACCTGCCTTATGGCCCTTATCACATATCATCTCTCTGTCTTGCGCTGCAGATTAGAGAAGGTATATCTTGGGAAGCAATTAGTGACAAGATTTCTACAAGAACAATGTCAGGTTGCTGCCATAAATGGTATGCACTTTATGTGTTAAATTTGGTATTGACAGTTTAATATATCTTCAACCAGTAATTTTCATATTTTTGTTTTCTTGACTGCAAATGTATATATGTATTTCAAACTTTTGTCTCTTTCCCAGTTTTACCTCTGAAGGATTCATTTTGTTGATGATTGCTGGCTAAAAGGGTAAGGAAGCAGTTCTTCAATTTTTCACTTATAGAAGTGCAAAGGGGAAAAAAAGAAAAGATAAGGAACTACCATTAAAGAACTATGATGGTTCAAAGCCTATATTTCCGATAGCGAAACTTGATGCTATAATATTCACATGCCCATATGATGCTAAGATCAAAATACTAAAAAAAAAGAAAAAAGAAAAAAGGAAAAAAGGAAGTGTAAACCTATCTAATAACTGAATCACCGACCGGTTATAAAATGGAGGTCAATCTACAATATATCTATATGTGAACTTGGAAGCTTGAAAGTGTCAAATCTGAGATTAAACCTAAACGTCTAACGTGAGTGAAAGTCAGATTCTAAACCTACTTGGCAAACAATGCCCTGGATATTGTACTTTCTTTAGTGTTTATGAAATTTGTAGGACCCTCTAGTCAGGGGCGGTGCGTATTGTTGATTATAGGGGTGCAACTGGACCCCTACCAATCTAGAAATTACATTTTAAAGCCTTCTATTATTACAATTGTCCCCCATAGTTTTAAAAAATTTGCACCTATCTTAAATTTCAAATGATTTGCATTTAGCTTTGAAAATTAGTTGCCCGTTTTCATTTAGTCTATTTGAAATTGGTAGCCCATTTTCATGTAGGTAAATAGATACTTATTATTCACCCCTCCAGGAAAAGTTTTCCGGATTTGCCACTGCATCTAGTGACATATGAATTGTTATTTGCTTAGTTATATTATCTTATATCTTTCTTATTTTGATATTAGTTCTTTAAAATTGTTATTTGCTTAGCTACTAAGTTCTTTGAATTATCTTAAATAATGGACATTTATTTTGATTGTTAACACCTGGGATATTACTCTGACCTTGACAGGACCTGTGCTGGGGCCATTTGATCCTATCTTCTTTACAGCCCCTCAGATGGTCATTTTCTACTTCCATAGCCATATTAAGTCATGGGGATGAAACCCATGTCCAGATCTTTAATTCCCTTTGACCTTTTGTACTTAGCCCAACCCTCGCATTGAGTCGTTTGTAGTAGGGTTATTTGGTTTTTGACCATCTTGACTAAACCTTTAGTTCAATCCCATAGTTCTGTTAACTTCAAAACGATTAACATGTCTTCTTTGAAAGAAGTTAAAAGGATTTAAGGAAGCATTAAGAAACTTAAATTTGGGGGTCAAAATGAGAAAAATCTAGTTGGGTAATTTTGAACTCCCTTTTGTTTTCGTACAAGAGTGTTTATTTAGTCTGACCTTCTGAATTTAGGTTCACCAGTCAAGCTAAATGATATTTTTAAACCTTTCAGTTCACAAATCTATGAAATGGGTTGGAAAACCTTTCCTTTTTTCGTATAACAGTGCCCTTTCAATTTTACCTTTTCAAACTCGGGTTTCCCCAAGTTAAAGATACTAGTATTTAACCCGTGCAAAGCACGGGCTAGCATTAATCTTTTGGTTCGTTTTATGTATACATATTTTCATGCATCACTTGCCCTATTGTGATAACACTTTTTGTTGTCTTTCTTAATTTCAACATCAATCTCAATTCAAAGAATTATTGTTAAGTTTCAATTGAATGTATTTATGCTAAAATGCATGTTTTCTCTACTTTTGCTAAGTTTCTAAACTTAAATGCAAAATAAATTAGATATACTTATATTGTATGAAACCTAATTTTCTTTGTAATAAAAATAATCAATTATATTAAATGGATAATTTTCACAGTCCAGCACAAGTGCTTGCGAAACTGTAAGATTACCTAATCACAAAATATGACAAGAATTAATGTATGATATTAGTATCAGAGATCAGAAAACACAATTCATAGTCACATTTGTATTATAAATTCAATGCATATTCAAATAAAATATAAATTCTAAAATCATAGACAACACAGACAACACAAATGTATGTTGAATGACAATAAAGAATGTAAAATATAAATTCTAAAATCATAGACAACACAGACAACACAAATGTATGTTGAATGACAATAAAGAATGAGTTCTTTCAACAAATAAGCACTTCCGAGTGACTCTATATTACAATTATATAAACTCATGATGGCATTAAAATAGATCTCCCTGCTAAGTTTAAAGAGTATCAAAGCAAAATAAAACTTGAATGAAAAACAATAAGAGCTTTTAATACACCCTAGTTTATAGCTGAGACAGACCAAAAGGTTCCACGGCTCCATATATATAGTTCTAGCTTTTTATTGATATTCCAAGTAGATCACTGGCAATAACAATTTAACATATGAATCCACTCCAGTATGCACAAAAGGGCACATGACTATCATATGAGAAAATCATGCGCTAACTAAAGTAGTAGGTAAAATCTGCAAAAATTAATAGCGATAAAACAACCGGAATGATCTTAGAGCTTTAATAGTATCCCAAGTCTGACTCTAAAATTTTGCAACTTAAACATACGTGTAACTTATCAATTAGTAGAAAATGTTGAAGTATACCTAAAAGCAAAAAATAAAAAAGATGATAACATACTCATCAAATACTTTTAGAACATAAACTCATATTAGAATTGAATCCCTTGAAGGGGGTTTCAACGAAGTAGAGAATTTGTGCAAGAGTACATGTCTAAGTATTTAATTAAAATGTGTGACAACCATATTGAGATGGAAAAAGCGTATTCTTGGATCACTCGACCTATGATTTTCTCGTCAAAATAATAAAAATACTTGGATGTAACCCACGAACATCTTATACACTCTTAGATAGTATTCTACCATGAAGGACTATAATATTACCAATAGATATTTTGATGAAAGAAATTCAGTTAATATCAGTGACTTACCGTTACATCATTTCTTCCAGTGAGCTTCAAGTATTGCAATGTAACATGATCTATGGGAAGAATCCCATAGTTGCTCTATACTCACATGATAGGTTTGCAATAGTGGCACGATCCGCCAATGATAGTTCACTGGTCGCTTCCCCTAAATGAAGGATATGAACAATAATTGAGCAATAATGAAAGAAGATGAACTTAATAATATTATCCACAGTTCAAAATCTATATCATTCACATTTGAGAATTTTGTGTATAAATGGGTATATATGGATACATACCAAAACTATTAGATTGTAAAGATATACATAGTTCCTTCTGCTTTGTTATATCTGTTATTATTGGTAAGCCATTTGCCTCATCATCATGTCATGAAGACCTTAATGGGTTCGTGCATCACCACTACTATTTGTGCCTGTTGAACAAATCAGCATGCAAACAACTAACATCTGCAAGAGAAACATTAAACCACTTAGAGACTATATCCCACCTAACATGTAAAACATTTAGATTCATTTTTTAACATTCTTTTTCTTTTTCATCTTTGTAGATAAATCATGAAATTCAATAGATTTCCCAACCACGTGTTTTTTAAATTTTTGTGATAATTTAAATTCAACAACTATTGGAAGCACCAATTTTATTGGCTACAGAATAAAAGATGAGACTATAATGAGGGAAGTTTTGGAAAAACCAAGAATAAGATGGCAAAAAAAAACAACCCATTTTTTAAAGCTACAAATGCCTCAGTCTAGTCCTTAACATAAAAGATCATTTAAAACAACATGCTAGTAACTTTTGCCCACATTCAGTTTATTAGGGGAATAGAAATGGAAGAAAATTTTGCAACTTGCAAAAAGATACAAAGGACATGTTCATGGAAAAAAAAAGTGTCATTGATCATTTGAGTAATTTGCACCCTTAGATCAAGACCATCAGCTCTTAGATAAGGGACAACTAATAGTTCTTTTGCACCCTAAGAATAATCATGCCAATTTGGTTCTTAATCCTACTCATTGTTCTCAATAAGTCATTCAAATTATCAGCTAAAGACATAATTGAGTAATTGGTTCACGTGAAATTGAGGAGCTATTGCAACTTAGAACATAATTGCACATAGTGGTTGTTTCGCTCACAGTTCAGCTATATTTCAACGTCATATGGAAAAATTAGCTTTGAGATTATATACAAATATTTACTTAGAAGAGAGAAATAACCTACCAAGTACATAGCAAAGAGACCAAATGTTAAGATATGTTGAATAGTGTCTAGCCCCCATCAAGTGGAGTCTATATACGATAATGTGAGGATCTAAATCAATGAGTCATATTCATTCTCGTGGAAAGCTATGTAAAGGAGAGGAAAAGTTATTTAAGTTAGATATAGTTTCTTTCTTCTAAGTATACATATTTCATGAGATTACTTCTTAAAGAGATTAGTGAACTGAGATGAGATATCCTTTCAGCATCATCAAAATTTCAGTCCATAAAAGGTTTGGGAGAAGATGAAATTTAGCCAAATAGAAAAATATGACCATAGCTTTAATTGAAAGTTGAGGTGATCAATGTGAATGTTTTACCTATCTAAGACCCCGTGGCCATGGGTAACTCAAAAAACATGTAGCAAAGGGTAATTTAAGAAACATTATGAACTTTAAAGCTGTTTTGTTCTAAATTATCATGAATCAGTTTTTATGCTCTAATAAATACCTTTAAGCAATATTGGATTTTTTTCATCTTTCTAGAAAATAATGGAAGAACGACAGTTGAGAGCAAATAACCACAAAGATAATATGATCAAAGAACCATAAGCACTCAAAACTCATAGCATTACAATTACTCATAATTACTCATAAGAACCCAAACCTCGCTAAAATAAAAATTATCAAACATGAATATAAAGATAAAGCAATGAATAATGACTTATATCTTTTACTAAACAAATTCTATTGTGAGTCTACATCACAACTGCATTTTGTCAACGTCTTAAATATAGATGACAACATCATTTTTTAATATTTA